TCCGGAGCCATTTCTGGTAAAGGGAACGGCGCGGCCTGGTGCTGCGCTGTGTAACGGGTGCCGCGTGGCGTCTCTCGCAGGGATGTGTGTGTTTACGACGTTCGGCACTTGAAGCCCAAGGGGAACAAGCCCGTGAGCGCTCTCAAGGGACACACGAAAAGCGTTGCCTCTGCGTACTTCTCGCCCGTGACGGGGAACAGAGTGGTGACGGTGTGTGCTGATGACAAGCTGAGGTGAGGCGGTGTGCGAGGGAGGAATCTCTGGAAAATGCCAACTGGGGTTTTATTATGATGATGATGATGATTTCCTGTCTGCATTACCCACCATTGAGAGCTTTCTGTCTTTATCACTTTTTTAAAACGTGATAAAAATGCCAAGGCAAGTAAATCTTTAATGCTGCATGATTTGCTTTTCTTCTTTCTAATTCTCATTTTCCTGAAGAATATTTAACAGTGAGCAGTAGAATACACAGGTACTGTTAAGTCTTTTAAAAAAACAACCAAAAAAAAACAAACCCCAAACCAACCAAACAAAAACCAGCCAAAAAACCTGGCTCGTGAACACAAATATGAGATGCTTAGAAACAGCTTTTATTTTTAGCTGCTGGTACTTAGGAGTCTGATAATGCCAGCTCTGCTGCCAGTTGTCTGCGTCTGATGAACGGAACTGCTGGGAGCGGTGCTGTGTTAGAGGACTGGTTTTTCTTTCTGCTTGGTAGTTCTGTGACCATAGTTTAGGTGATCTGTTCATGTGCGTCCCTGATGGCGGCTGCGTATTCGCCCTGTTTGTCCTGAAGTCCTGATTCGTGTCAGAGCAGCGGGAACCCGGCCCGGGCTCACCGGTGCCCATGCTGTCACCAGACGGGCAGCGACCGGGGTCAGGGGCAGGAGCCGAGTGCGGCGCAGCTCTCAAAGCGCTGCCTGTTTTGGGTGGAAATCTGCTTTTCTTCCTTCCCTGTACACGGGAAGGAGTTCTGCTGTGCAGCTCCGTGGTGCTGCCGCGCGTTCTCTCCCGGGATCTGTTTGCTGTGGATAATTGAGGATGTTGTTCTCCATAGCAGGCTCGGTTGTGGAAATTGCAAATCCTTGGTGCTAACAGCAAGGATCAGAGTACAGAATGGCTACGAGTAAACCAGAACGTTTGTGCTCGACAGACTGGGGAGAAGAACAGATACAGGATCCTTCATTCCCTGCCCGCTCCGGAGGGAGAAGCAGCGGCTCCTGACTGGGCAGCGGCCGGGAGTTCGTGCCCTGGGGGCTGGGGATCCTGAGAGTCTGTCGGGAGGGAGGGAGAACCCCGAGCGGGAGCTGTGGCGATGGTTTCTCTGCCGGGTGAGCTCCATCCTGCCCGGGAGGCCCTGGCGCTGGGAGCTGGTACTGGTGGGGGTTCACTGGCGCCTGTTGCCCTTCCCGGCAGCAGGACAGCGGGACAGAGCAGCTGCCATCTGCCCCTGCACGCCGCTCTTGGTGTCCTCCCGCAGCGGCTTTCGGAAAGGCAGCCCTACAGTTCTAGCTAGAAGCGGACCCAATCCGAAAAGCCAACGTTAACAGTGTCAGCTGGGGGGTTGGTGCCTGCGTTCGCCGCGATGCCGTGTGCCGTTCGCTGCGGTGCCCCCGGCTCGTGCGCGGCCAG